ATTAGTTAAAACCCGACCGTTTCCAAAAACTCGAGGCCCGCTGCTGGGTACAATTAAAATGGACCTCTGGACTACGTAAAACGGCTAATAACAGTAATTATAAGCGATTTTAACAAAACAACAAGGTTTTATTCACAAAGCACGCGCCGCAGCGCCGCCGGCGGTGACTTTTGGTACTAAGTGACGCACAGATGGCGCCACTGAACATTTTCAATGTGATATTGTGTTACATTAATAATTTGTTTAGCTAATAAAGTATCTTACTAATATAATAAACACGAAATTTTGGTAGGAGGATAGACGTAGGACGGATGGATGTTTGTTAGCCTTTCACACAAAACTATTGAAGGGATTTTATACATTAAAATAACATATAAGCTATAACTTAAAAAGATATCATGTAAATTCGGCAAAATGTATTGATAAATGTGGTATAATCATCACAAAAAATTATCACAGTGATGCAGACAAAGTTGCGCGGGTCAGCTAGTATATATTATGTAAGTCACATGGTAAAACATTTTTTATTTTCTTATGTAATTAAAATGGCAAAAAAATCAAAGGTCAACCTGATGGTAAATGGCAGTCATCGCATATATAGGCGTTACATGAACAGCATCATCGACATCACGGTATCAAATCATTATGATGGCCGCAGTACCCCGCTTACTTTACGAAACTGGAATACTAGGATATCATAACACCATAGGCAGTAGTTTCACTTACTTTTAATGCTTGAGTCATTTTTTATCTATACATTTAATTAGATACTGAAATGGGTACAGGCATAGGTTTATCATATATTTCCTTTGTATCATGGTTCGGGATAAAAATAAAAAAAAAACAATTCTTTGGAACTTATTTACTTGTATGTGCCCTCTAGAAGCTGAAATTTAATGTTTGTATAATAATACATAAAAAATTGCGCGAATGTGCATAGATAACTTTGTACAAAGTTTGTCTTAAAAAGATCTGGGTGGACGAAAAGATAGTCTACTAATATAAAGTCCTTAAATACATATAACTATAATAATTAAACAAGTTTTTACCTTACCTTGTACCTACCCATGCAAGGACGGTCATAGATTTTAACCGAGATGGACTTTATACAAAAATGTTTGTATGAGTAAGTACTTCCTATTTTACCCGCCAGTAGCTTGTTTTATTTTTCGATATAAAGCATTGAAATTACAGGGTACAGAGTCTTAGTCCTCCGAAATGAGAACTCATATGAGTGGCAACACGGCATCATATGATGACACGATGTTAGTCGTGCTAATTTTATATACGAGTAGGCGAATGTTACTGTCTATCCAATAGACAGACAGCTCGTTTGCCATTCTAATTACATTACAATAAAAGAAATAAAAAATTCAAAATCTATTCCTACATATGTATATTTAAGTATAGGTACTACTTTTCTACCTACTGAGATGATATAAAAAACATAAAAAAACTGCTCGTTCCGAGTAAACTCGAGAGAAACACAGACGTATCATTACAAGGCGTCCGGCACGCAATTTCTTTAAAAAAAAACACGCTCTAAATCTCTAATTTAACGAAAAAACTGTATCATTCACGAGACGACCCTTTTCTATTCGATTTTTTTCTTTTAACCAGCTCCGAACGCGTGACTTTTGACTGACTGTTTTGGCTCCGGGCGATTTCTATCCCGAGCGCAACCGCAGGAATAAAAAAATAAACACAAAAGATGGCGCCCAGACGCTCGCGTGCGCGCCTTTCGGCGGGAAGGACTTTGGAAAAAAACTTTATTCAGACTTTTACCTGTGACGTCGTGTCGGTGTAAAACAAAGTAGAATTAGTATCCCGCTATTATTATTATGAGAGAAATTGGCGCAAGTTTAACGACTGATAATTATTTAGGTTAGAAATAAATAAATAATATCAATGGATATCTAACACTTTACTTACAAAAAGCTAATCATACATTATTTTTTTATTTCAAATGTCATGTCATTTGAAATAAAACATGAGTTGAAGTTTTTTAGCTTATAATAGAAAACATTTTAAAATAAGTTTTTAACGAAATATGTAGATGTACCTGATGACCTACCTATGCGTCTGACTACATCATCTGGGATCAATCGTGAGAAAACGCAGATACAGATATTTTTTATCATAAAATAAAATTTAAATAAAAAAATAGTACTGTGTGCCAGTAAGTAACAATTTATTAACTACCTAGGAGACTTAGTAATAACAATGAAACATTTTGTCTAAGGATACATTGGGATTGGGATACATTCTGTCCTTTGCCAAATGTCCCACAACTTAGTGGACCTTTTGGCATAGGCCTTCTACAGCTCTCTCCATTGAGCTCTATCCTCCGCAATCCTGTACCAGAGCTATCCAAGAGCCAGGTTGTTGTCACCTTTCCAACGTGTTCTTTGGCACCCCAGTCTGCAGGTCTCATCTCTATGGTAACAAAGTGACTTGTTTGCTCCATTTGTTAATTTTGCATCTTAATAGGAGGTTTATTAGATAGATACTTATTAAAGAGGTATATTATCAGTTCTCCAGTTACTCCCGTATATTTAAACTTTGTTAGAACGAATAAACATCGGTTTCAATCTGATCGAAACTTAATACGGTTCTTCAAATACACTGGAGGTCTCAATTCCATACAAAATAACAGAGCCTAACAGACCTTAATCATCTATTACACTATCAGAGATAGAGTGTAAGAAGTCTGCGCGCACCGGTGCACCTGTGTCTCACCTAATTCAGACGCCAAGCAGCTTGCTTTGTAAGCTGTGTTTCATTTGTAGTTTCATTATTTATGTTTTATGTATAGTTATGTATTGTTACTAATTACTTATTATGATAATCATAATAACAATAAGTCATAAAAAAAATACAAAACTAAAAAAATAAAAACAGCAACTATACAAATTACAATTATATTAATAATCTAGAAATATATTAACAATACAATTTGGATTGCTAATTTGCATTGGTATTGTACTGTAATACTCACCGAGAGCATGTAATTTTATAAATAAATAAATAAATTTGTGGGGTCAGATTAGGCAGTGGAAATACAGAATAAGAGGCAAACGCCTTCTTATTGGAAAACACCCTCTGGAATGGCAACACATAAGTGGTATCACGGGTATCTCATGATAACATGATGTCCGTAGTACTGTTCATGTATATAGACGCAGGTTACCGCTTACCATCAGGTGTGCCATCAGCTTGTTCGCGATTCTAATTAAAAAAAAAATTAGAAACTTAGGGACAGAAAATTGTGGTGATATTTCTCCATTATCACACGAAGAATCACCGACTGTCTATATTTTATATTCAGTACGTGCCTACATAGTTGCAGTGCCACTTTACACAAAATTATAAAATTAATAATAATATAATTTAAAAGGTGTAATTATATTTATATTAGATTACCTTCGCGATAGGTAATCCTCAAATATGGCAACAGTTGACGATGTGACGTCTGTGGTACTGTTTATGTATATCTATGAGCGAGTCCCTTTTAACTGTTTAGATCCTCCGATCGATTCCCCATCGAATTCAAACGAGGATCGAAACTACGACGGCCTGAACCGAGGTTCGAACCTTAAAATTCGTACTCAAACTAAAGTCGTATCCGACAGACGAGAGTTGGCCGGCAGTCGCTCTATAAGTCCTTCCGCGGGTTTGGAATGCAATCTGCTCTCGCCCCCTATCGTTGTAGCTGTAAAGGCCAGCTGCGGCCAACAGCATTAGAATAATTAGGAACAAAACTGTTTAGAGTGCTCGCCTGCGCTGGCGATATACGCTGGCACACATTATTACACTGGACACCAGTAGACGTAAAATCGGGTCTGTACTGTAAAATGCGCATACATAGGTACATTATACAAAAAGTCCTACATCAGTAAATGATTTTTTAATTTGAATTTGAATTGAACTGAAAATTGTATTGGTAGGATGTAAAACATAGTTTCTACTTAGGTACAACTATTATTAAATACACAGAACTGTCCTCTATAATTTCAAATTAAGTTAAAATGGGTAAACATAAGTAAAATTATATTTTTTATTTGGTTTATATACAAATAAATAGCAAATTAATTACAAAATATTAATGATTAATATAAATAGGTTTAGACTTATTGAATAACAAAGATGACGCCTAACAATATTCATTAGCAAAATTTTTGTTATACACATTCTTAAGTTTTGTCAAGGCGTTATTTATTTTGTTATACATCTCTAAATTGTTTCTAAGTAGGAATACTTTATTCCATAAATTAACCATTTTTATATATTTTTTTTAGGAAGATATGATGATGTATATAATATAAAGATATGATATATATACGTCCAAACTGTTGAATTTGCGTTTTGGAATATCGTCTTCTATTTCTAATAATCCTGATATTAGCTCTACGTGTAACGGAACGTACTTTGAATATAGCAGCTACAATATACTGACATTCAGATTGACAATTGAAAATGACATTAGTTAGTGTGACCATACATAGTAATTTCTAACATTTTAGGCATGTTTAGTTTCTAACACCTATTAAAATTTTGTTAATTTGCCGCAATTTATACGCAACTATGTAAATCAAGAGTGTTTTTAACAGTTGGTTTCTAAGAACTGTATATAATATTAAATACATGTAAAGAAAATTATACTCGCTGACGGTAATGATTGTATTATAAAAATATAGATGAGCATGTAAAACAATAGATTATTTTAATATATAAAAATATAATAGAGTCTCATTTGTATGTTAAAAAAATTTATTTAAATATAGCTTTTTTAAATGATTCTACCGATTTTAGATTACTAATTTCTTATCCATTATCTTATCTTAAACCAGACCAGTCAATATGTATATTTCAAAATACAATACTCAACAGGATTTGGCATATTTATCTCTGAATATGGCACGTTCCGTTATTAGACTATGTTCACATCGACTGAGGCTGTTTGACAGTTTGATTGACATTACAAATTGTTTTTTTTATACTTATTAGAAGTTGATCATACGTATATATATTGAGATTTCAAAATTGCGGCCACAAACTTTTTGCCGGTAAATAATTTAGTAAAACAATAAAATTATAGACAATGGCGGCTCGTAATATTTTCAAATTAGGAGCGTTAGAAGCACCAAGGACAGCATTTCTCCTGTGTGATATACAAGAAACGTTTAGACCTCATATAAAACATTTCGGCGAAGTCGTACGAGTTGCTAATAAAATGGTTTGTACACATTACATAATGTCCCTTATCAAGTTAATCGTTATCTGCTTGATCTTTGATACTTTGCATATTTATTGGCCTATTAATTACCATAATATTATTCACTTAAATATAAGTATCTCCATCACTAGTTTACAAGATATGAACTGATATGAGTAGAAATAACTATTATTAACTATATAATTTATTATTATATTTATTTTATTTATGTACTAGCTGGAACTGTAGTGTTACCCGCGTTAATTTGTTTAAGGAATATTGGAGATTAACTATAAAAGACAATAAGGTCTTAACATGTTGTCAATCATTGTTAATTCACTAGGAATTAACTTTTTTTCTTTGTAAAACAATAGTCATAAGATTATAAACTGATGTCTTAAGTCTTTCTTTATTTGTAGGCAAAGAGGTCAGCACCTAAACTGACTTTTTACATTACATTCTACTTCCTCTTCAGTATCTTGACCATGCTAGAAAGTTCCAAAACCTGTGTTGCCAATGGATTAGGAGGGGTAGAGTCCATCTGTATATTTCCTGTTGTCTGTTGTTTTTAATTGTGTGAAATGTAGGTACATTCAGGTACTTATGAACTAGGACTTAACTATATAGGTTGCTGGGGGAGAGGACCGTATGGGAGTCTACCTGATATAGTGCATTGCAACCAATATCATTGTTAATAATCCCATCTACCTATAATAATATTATTGAATCATTGATTAACAGGTTGAAGCAGCAAAACACTTCAAAATACCAGTGTATGTTTCGGAACAGTATCCCAAAGGTCTGGGCCACACCACCAAGGATGTCAAAATTGAAGATGCTGCATTGGTCTATGAAAAGACTAGATTCTCTATGTACACACCTGAACTGCAGGAACGACTGAAGAAAGATGTCCCAAATTTGAGTTCAGTTGTGTTATTTGGTATAGAGGTAAATTCAATAATAATTATAGCCCTGAATGATTCATATAGCGCCATATAGTCCCAAGCTAAGCAGAGCTTGTGTTATTGGTATTAACCAACTAGTAGAAGTAATTTAATACATTTTTTTGTAAATATAGACGCATAGAAAACACACAACAATACAAAGTATCATACAAATACAAATTTTGTATAGTGGAAGGAATCTTAACAACAACCATAATATGTAGTATTGGGTAATACTAATATATACCATCCTTCTGCAGGTTTGTAGTATCATCTGCACTCGCCCCCTATCATCTAGTGAAGCTATAAAAGCCAGCTGTGAGAACCAGCATTACAATAGTTTAAAAAAAAAAGATAAATTAGCTATCAAATGCTAAAAGAATTTTCAAAATCGAATCAGTAGATTACTCGGAACTTTCAAACTCAGAAACTACTTTCACTAAATTTAAATTATTTTCATTTTCAGGCACATGTCTGCATCGAGCAAACTGTGATAGATCTTCTGAATGAGGACATCACTGTCCATGTTTTAGCTGATGGAGTGTCATCTAGGTCTTTAATGGATAGAGGGCTCGCTTTTCAGGTTAGTTTAACTTATCATCATCATCATTTGCCTTGCCTTTATCCCATTATTTGGGGTCGGCACAGTATGTCGATTAGTCTAACTTATATTAATAGCTATTGATCAAACTAAATTGATGTTATTTATTACTCTAAAGACAATATAGGTACAAAGTTGTCTGTAAGTTAGTTTAAAGCTTAATAAAGTTAATATAAAAGAAATGCAAGGCTTACCAATCAATATTAAAGTCAAAAAAGTTTATTCATATAGACATATGTTATATATAAAATTCTCGTGTCACAATGTTATTTACCATACTCCTCTGAAACGGCTTGACCAAATTTTATGAAATTTTATATGCATATTCAGTAGGTTTGACAGTCGGCTACCATCTATTTTTCATACCCCTAAGTGATAAGGGTTATCCAACCCAAACATTTATTTTTTAGACATTTTTTGTAATGTCATTAAAAATACATCCAACCCTAAATTTTCACCCTTATATCACCACCTACCACCCCTATTTTTTAATACCGCTTTTAATATATATGATAAAGCAATGTTTGTGGGTTCAGCTAGTAATATATATATATTTGTTAATCAGTCTTTCAATCCACATACAGCCGTTAAAAATACCACCATTTGTCTACCTTGTAAACCACAGTTCATCACTTCGACCCTAATATTATTCATTAAACAAATAAAAAACTCTGGATAATTAACACAGCACCATTTAGTTCACGCTAAGCAGAGCTTGTGTTATGGGTACTAGACAACTGATATAAATACACACATATATTTTTTGTAAATACATACATAATATAAATAGAAAACACCCAAACCGATACAATCATACTCATCAATACAATAATATAAAGGAAGGAATCAAAATCGCGACCACCGGAAGTAAAGTGGTGTTTTAAACCGCTAGACCACCGAGATCGTCGAATCATCAATTGATACATTTTGTTGTCTTAATCTGATTCCAGCGCATGCAATCTTTAGGCTGCTTCATCACAACTTCAGAGAATGTCCTGTTCAAACTCCTCAGAGACAAGAATAACAGTGCATTCAAACATATATCCAAGTTAAACAAGGAACCCACTGTTGATACTTTGGGATTTGAAATAGCATCCAAATTATAGATAACAGTTATTTTTCTCTCGTTGTTTACTGTTGTCCGTCGTATAAACGAGATATTTACTATGAGCTCTTTAATAGTATTATATCATGACAGCCCCGGTGGTCTAGCGGATTAGCACACCGCTTTACTGGCGATGGCCGAGGGTTCGATTCCTCGCACTGTACAATATTATGAATAAGGCTCCTGATATACATTCGGTTCATCGTCTTATATATCGACGCCCTAAGGGAGTTTTGTCTTAGTAATGGTGTATTTTGACTACACAATTATAAATTTTTTAGTTTTTTTATAATATATATTTTTATACCATTGTTAATAAATTATATTTTGTATAAATAAAGCATTCCAACACTACATTGGCATTTTTTTTAATTCCAGCGGTTCCAAAACATCGGCTGCTTCGTTAGTACATCGGAGAATGTGCTCTTCAAATTATTGAGGGACAAAAACCATGAGGTTTTCAAGGCGATCTCTAAATTGAATACGGAACCAACGCCAGACGAGTTCGGTGTAAATGCTAGGAAGAGTCCATAAATGTGTTACTGTTACCCGCGACTTTGTCTGCATTTTTACTTAAATAACTACTAATACTTATTGGTGAAGATTATTAATTCGCATAGGACAATTCAATGATCGGTAACATCCAAAATTACACTGATAATCTTCTTAAAATAAATAAAGTAATATGTCTTCGTGACAAACTAAATTAAATTTTCATTAAGAACGCCTAGAACGCCTTAGAAGTCGCCTAGAACTAATATATATACATTATCCAAGTGTTACATATATCTAATTATATATTAATAAAGATATATAATTTCGCATACGAAGTCGTGGCCACATCTAGATTGTACATATAAGTACGATTTGTATATATGTATACAATATAACGAGTAAAATTTTTTTAATGGTTTTTTATAATGGTTAAACTCGAATACCTATTTAACCAATTTTAAATATGCTTTGACTTATGGACTACATTTTGTCAAGTGTAATAAATTAAATAGATTTATTATTATTTTTCATTGTTTTCAAATGGATAGAGAATAATCTATAGAAAGTGATGAATGAACTGAGTTTGAAGTTTTTAGACTTTATAAATAATACGAATAAATTTATATCATCATCATCATCTCAGCCCGGAAGATGTCCACTGCTGGACATAGGCTTCCTCCGAAGATATATATAAATAATAAAGATAAATATATATATTGTACCATAAAAAGTTTATTATTATTATGTATTGTTTTTTTTTATGCTCTCTTCTATTCTGTTATAGCCTTTATTACTAAACTAATACAATTATTCATTTATGATTCATAGGTAACAATTGGTGGTATAAAAACAGGTAACAAAGTCTATTAACCTATTAGGTATATAAATAATAAGTGATATAATAATAATATTTTTTATTGACAGCAAAATTATAATAATATTGAAACAGTAAATTATTGCATAGTATCTTTCGTTTTCTGGAATGGCAACTTATAATTTATCACGAATGTCGCTGATGTTTATTTGTTTGTAACGCTATTGTACAGTAAATACATTTAAAATAACAGGTTACAACACTTTGTGATGCTGTTCTTGTATGTGGGTAACAGTTACCATTTACTGTCAGTAAGGCTGTTTGTCATTAAAGTCACAAGAACAAAAAAATGTACCACAGTGGAGGCACTCAGGCGTATTTTCTTATGTATATTGTATACAATAAAATATATCTATTATAGCGACAAATTTATATTTATCTTGTATGAGAATATTTTTGTAATTATATCATTTGTTGTTATATTTTATAATACATTATTTATTATTGTTGTAAATGTTATTTCAGCAGCGACCACTTTAGTTGTTCCTTTGCCGACTGTAGTACCTGGAAATAAAAAAAATATATAGATTACTAGCTACTCGCCCCGGCTTTGTCCGGGTGTACATTTATTATACACATAAACCTTCCTCTTGAATCACTCTATCTATTAAAATAACCGTTTCAAAATCCGTTGTGTAGTTTTAAATATTTAAACATACATATATAGGGACGGACAGACAGCGACAGCGACTTTGTTTTATACTATGTAATGATATGGTCTACACATGACAATGACATGACAATAAAATCTCAGGCAACGTTGGAGCAGTGGCAGGAAGCAACTTGGGTCGCTTCCTAGTTCTTTTTTATGATTTTATCATTTCGAATACCTGGATAGTACTATATATACATATCTGTTGGCCCAACTGAAATTCAGCGTTATGCGTCAGCATTATGTTGAGGTTGTGTTGTGGTCCACATTATACAATAATATATACACATCACAAAACAGAGTCCTTGTTTTATAATTGTTTTGTTATTTAAGGAGGTATAATTTTACATTTTTATTTTATTTATTTATTTACTTCTATTTGTCTCAAATTTATAATCTTATAGTTAAATAAAGAAAAACCATATTATTTACCTTCTATATATGTAGTACTACATTTAATAATTTACTCCTATTTGACTCAAATTTATAATTTTATAATTAAATAAATAAAGACAATATTGTCCACCTTTTGTTTATGTACCACATTTAATTAAAATCTATTTATCCAGTAGCCTTCGTACATAGTTTGCATACTTGACTCGCCTATTTCAGCTGCTAATAATTGCTTTGCTATCTATGTTATATAACAATTATTGGTGAGAAATAGAATATACGAGGATATATTTTCTCAAAACTTACTGTTATACTTTATACTATATATATAGGTATATACACTCTGTTTCACGAATAATTAACAATTACTTATACTGTAAAATTCTCATTGTTGTACTATATTAAACATTTTATCGCACTTCATAGCCACTATAACGTCAAAACAACGTTCGCTTCTTGGGAAAATCTACGCTGAGCTACCGCTTCTTTGAACTGCATGCATTGTGTTTTTGTTTTCAATTTTGTTACCGGTTTATTATGTATTTATTTATTATGTATGTAATTTTCATATTTTTCATGCATTATTAATAATAATATCTCAGGACAATTCAAAACAGCGCCATCTAGTCCCAAGCTAAGCGGAGGCTGTGTTATGGGTACTGGACAACTGATATAAATACATACATTTTTTTTCGTAAATATACACATAAAACACCCAGACCGATACAAACAAACATCATGAATACAAAAATTTGTATCGTGCGTGGAATCGAACTCGCGACCATATGTTACTTCCCAATGTGCTAAACCAAGTAATGGGACTCTTATATGTGTGTTGAAGAGTGAGATAAGGCTGAAGTTACAGGTTCAGGAGGCATCATATTCTAGTTCTTCGGAATGGCAACATATACGGGTTTTTCAAGGGTGTCAAATGATGTGATGCTAATAATATAATATTATTTTTTTATATTTTAATTAAATTCAATATACAAAAATAATGTGTACATACGGCAGACTTAACACCTTGCGGTGTTATCTACCAGGCAATCATGAGTGGTGTAGAGAAAGATTGTCGCCGGTGCACTAATATAAATTAGACATGTCAAAGACAATATGTATATATTTCTATAAAAAAATATATCTGAAGATAACATGTTCTCCATCTCAAATGATACGGGTAAGCAGAATTTGATGATAATTCGTTAAAATATTAGTGGTTGAAAGCTTAACACTACCTCAATTTCGTATTTTACAGTTTATCACACTGTCAATAGTCACGGGTTCGATTACCGTTTAATACAGTAATTTCTATGCGTTATTGCATGTCTATTGGTTTATGTGTTTTTGTGGATTATATTTACAAAAACATAAATTATGCAGTATCTAAAGTACAAACTCTTTAATAATAATATCGCGCCATCTAGTCCCACGGTAAGCAGAGCTCGTGGTATGGGTACGAGACAACTGACATAAATACTTAGATACATTTTTCATAATATACCTAGGAAACAGCCAGACCTATACAAACAATCATACTCATAAATACAAATGTTTGTACCGTGCGAGGAATCGAACCCGCGTCCATCGTGAGTTAAGCAATGTGGTAAACCACCGAGGCGGTCTTAACCTGCAGCCAGGGGCGGATCTATCTAAGGGCTTTTTGAGCGGCAGCTTAGGGCCCCGATGATGCAAAGGGCCCCCAGCCCCATTGAAACAATGGAATGTTAAAACCCTATCATTAGGTTGGCAACTCTGAAATTCAAGCCATGCAAGTGCGCGTCTATCGAAAGGAACGGCGAATTTCTGGTCGGTGTATTTTTTTAGTTGAATAATATAATTAGACAACGCATCTAAAGTAGATTTAGTCCAGGGCCCCGTAAATTCACGATCCGCCCCTGCCCACAGCTATATGGCGTTATATCAGAGACGTAGAAAAACTGTTAAATACCCATACACACCAATAATTACTAATTTTGAAACATAATAATGTATATTTTTTAATCCGTGTTATATGCTAGCACAAGCAAAAGCAAAAAGCGGTGGGGTTATAAAGCTTAAAAAAAAATAAAAAGCAAAAGAAAGAAATAAAATATTTAATAGACAAACTACAACTGTACAGTTTAACTAAATGCTAATGTTCGATATATCTGGGCATCTCAAAAATTCATTATGTTGTTCAGTATCTGAAATAGGAAACGCATACTAAATATTCCCGTTCTATAATAACATGCTTTTGAAAATCATGAATTATTTATAACAATAAAATATCATAATGACTTATACTAGACGGGGTAGTCAGAGTCATACCATCTGTCTATACGTGGTTAAACTAAGACTTGAAATGCTTACTGTCATTTCGCTGTAAGCCCATGTTAGCGCCGTTTGATTTGATAAGCGTGTTTCTTTCAGTTCGTGAGTCAGTCAGAAACATAAAGTGACACAAAGTTTTTTTTTAATGATATCATTATTACTTTTTAAAATATAAATTAATTTATAAAAGAAAAAATAAAATACCATTCATGAAAAAAACTTAATTCCAGACCAATAAGGCATGTAAATAATTCATTACCATAAAAAATTACAACTTTAGTTGTTGGTCAGGTCATTGATCTTATTTTAATGGTCATAAACACCTGTGAATATTTTTTTTATTCAGTTGTTTTGTTTATTGATGTTCTCAGTGGAGCATACCGCTTTACTTGTGATGGTCGCGGGTTCGATTCTTTATACAGTAAAAACACTTGTATTTATGAGTATGATTGTATTAATCTGGGTGTTTTCTATGTATATTATATATGTATTTACAAAAAAAAAGTATGTATTAATTTGGAATTAGACACACAGACATACAGTGCCAACTGTATGTATTGTCGAAAGATATTATTATTGAGCGGAGTCATCATATAGATCAGATTTGCACCCTTTGTAACGAAACTCTTCCGAAACGGCTTGATCAAGATCAAAATTTCATCGAAGGTCTACGTTCTGGTCTCCATCATTTATCACTTAAGGTCGAGTTATTAAGAATAAACGCGCTCCACGAGAGTAACTACACACTAACACTAACACGAGACCTGATGCGTAAACTGGTAACAAACCTAGTGATTTAAAAATCAAACCGATTTTGATGATGTTCTATGAAACAAATCTGATTATGATTAATGTATGGCCAATAAATATACATAGTACTGTAGAGGGAAGTACTCATTAGCGTCGTCAAGACAGCTTTAGAAGCTTTACAGTTTACAGAATGAGATATGGTAGTGAAATTACTACATACGGGTATTATTGCACAATAATTTTTACATTTGGGTTGTAATATCTGTTTCAAGAAAAATTATGCTCATATTCATGCCATACTTGTTGTAAAAAGCGATATAGAAACCAAAGGATTAATAGTGAAGTGTTTGAGAAGGGAAAATCGATATAAAACACTATGCCAGTCCGTCCGGCCAGTGTGTATTAGTGGTCTAAACATTACGAGGTGAGATTCTATTCTCAATGGACAATGGATTGTTATGTTGGATAGATTATGGGAGTCTTTATGAACAATAAACACATATGTAAGTATTTACCTCAGTTGTCTAGTACTTGTAATAAAAGTTCTTAGGAAAATTGGAGCATCAACTTGTTTAAACATTTAAAAAACATGCAATGACTTAATAATAATAAATCTAATAATATCACTTTCACGCATAAACTACTGAACGGATTTTGATGAAACTTTATAGTAATAGCTTATACATAGAATAACACATAGGTTATAATTTAACAATATATTATTGTGATGGAGACGAAGATGCGGTCAGCTAGTGGATAAAAAAAAATAGGACCATACAACTTAATTAGTAATGACTACACATACAAACTTAAATAAATAAAAGATAGAAATTATAATAGCATTACAAATGTTAGTAGTTTATTTAATTAAAAAAAAAACTTAGAAGCATAAACAATAACCAACCCATAGAGAAAAATATTATATTAGTGTAACAATAGGAAACTAACTCGGTTAGTATAGAATTAAAACAATTACGTTAGTTCATAACTTGTTAGTCATACAGCATGCATAGAATATGTTATTGTACAAAATTAGACAAAAAAATTGCTTATTATATTTATACAATTCTAGCGAGTTTTATCTAACTATACAATTAAATAAAATTGTAGTGCCACTTTGTAGTTTTAAATTAACAGCTTTTCACTAAATTCATTTAAACGCATATACAGTACTTACTTAAAAAAAATTGTCTGTCTGTCTGTTCTTGCCAATCTCTGAAACGGCTGGACCTATTCTGATAGGATTTTTACTCATATTTCATGTTATAGGGAGTAACTTAAGACAGCTTTTATTTTAATAAAACTTAAATACCACGCGAACAAAGTCGTAGGTAACAGGTAGTATTAACATAGTATATCAATTTAGAATAATGGTACCTTTTAAACAGTGAAATGAATTCTCCAATCGGCAATGTTGCCAGAAGTTAATACCCAAATAATAAAATTCCCTTTCTCTCTTATTAATATTAGATATAAATACTGTTATATTATTGTGTATAGAATCTATCTATCTATCTATAGAAGTATTTACAAATACAAGAATAATATAAACACAAAACCATGCTCATAGATAAATATATACGCACTCATACATTTGCATCAATAATTATGCTATTCGCTTGGATATATCAGATTATGACCCGAACCTATTCCTTTTTATCCTACAGATAAAAACAAAGAAATTATTAACACCCACAACAACAAATTAAATTAATACCCTGTTCATATAACATACATAAATAAATTATCAAATAAATCATAAACTTACTCCAATAAAATATATCTGGTAAAATATATAATTTGCATAATTTAATATTCAAATTCAAAACAAGATGTCACAGTCTGTGGTGCTGATATCAATCTATTCAACATTCTAATTGTTAAATAAATAAATAAAATTATCAATTAGAATAAGTGACAGATTTATTTTATTAGTTTTAATTGTATTTATTTCAGATTGTACCAGGCTACTAGGACTATGTAAGAGTGCTCTCTAACCAGTGTGGAGCATTATATTGAATTAAACTAGAAAGCTTTTGTCTTTCAATTTCTACTACGCTACAGTATAAAAAAAGTTTTCAAAAAGAAACGACGTAGTGTGAATGTAAAATTGCCAAGCTGAGCCAAGTTGTCAGGCAAATTTGTACTAGGCTACCAGGAGTATGTAGGAGTGCTACCTAAACAGTTTGTTCAGTTTTTTTATTACCTGCGCGACGGTTTGTTCTCCAAGTGGTACATCTTCCGTCCGGAGAGCGGCGCGTCCTACTATAGACATCGGATCCGCATCTAATATCACCCTGAAACATACATTGTTATGAATATATATTTATGTTTACGACTGTTATCCCAGATAGGGAAGTCAGAGATATGATCAACTTATGAAGTATTTGCAAAAGCTAACCAAAACACAGTTTACAGATCAAGCAGAAATACGTGAGACAGTGGTACCTGAGCAAATGAGTTAACCAAGATACTCGGTGATAATGAAATCAATATAACTTTATTTATACCTTACTATTATATTCGTTAACGGGAGCTGCTTATAGGGACTTGTCTGATAACTAAGACTGATTTATTTTGATACTCAAGTAATTATTTATTAATAGAAATAGAAATAGAAATAATCTTTATTCAAATAAACTCATTACAAGCACTTTTGAATAGTCATATTTTGATTCTACCACTCATTCGGAATGCAGATTCATCACAAGAAGAATGAGCAAGAAACTTGTGTGTTGCTCTTTTTAATATATGTTTTTTTTATATAAATAATTACAGTATAACAAGTAAGAGGCATGCGATAATCAACATAGAAGTCGCTACGCACTCATTATTAATGTAATCAGATAATATTGTCAGTGCTATGGATTCAAAGTTTTTCTATAAAAACATTATTATCGTTAACGAATTCTTCAATTTTATAGTAAGCTTTTTTGCAAAGGAACTGTTTTATTTGACATTTAAATCTTTTTTCTGGCAGATTTATAACAGACTCTGGTATTTTATTGTAAAACCTTACGCAATTGCCATAAAACGAATTACTAACTTTAGCTAAACGACATTTAGGTAAAATCAGTTTGTTATTGTTACGTAAGCTTTTATTAGTGCAATCACTAACTTTCTTTTGAAACTGTCTATATTCCTTCTGGCATAGACGATATTTTCATAAATGTATTGAGAAGCAACGGTGAGGATATTTGATTCCTTAAAATATAGACTCCCATACCATAAATGGAACGAATGGCCCTCTTTTGTAAAGTAAATATTGTATTTATATCAGCTGCTTTGCCCCAAACAAAATACCATACGACATAATGCTATGGAAATAGCTAAAATAGACAAGTTTAGCCGTTTTGTTAATTGTCTAATTCTTCTTAGCGGCAGAACTAAGTCGACTCGCCAATTTAGTAATATGAGCACCCCATTGCAACTTGGAATCTAATGTGATACCTAGAAATACAGTATCGTCAACAAAATTAATAGATTTATTGTCCAATACGATTTTTGAATCTACCGGCCTTACATTGGGGAGAGTAAATTTGATACATTTAGTTTTATTTGCATTTAGTAGCATATTATTTGCCGTAAACCATTTTAAAAGATAAGAGAGAGAACAGTTTACTTCGTCCATATCATCAATATGTCGATTGACTTTGAATACTAATGAAGTATCATCAGCAAACAGAACTATGTCAGCTATCTTTTCTACCATATAAGGAAGATCGTTTATGTAAACTAAAAATAAGAAAGGACCTAGAATAGAGCCCTGAGGAACACCCATTTTAATACTAGTTCCCTCAGACTTTACACCATTTATTTCAACAACTTGCATTCTATTATTTAGATAGGATTTCATCATGCATAGTGCTTCATATCTAATACCGTAATGTTCTAATTTGAGAATTGAGTTCTATTCACGTCAATGTTGCTTTATGGCAGTTTGTATTCACTCAAAATCTTAAATTCAAATTCAAATATCATTTATTCATGTAGGACATTTTAGCCGCTTATGAACATCAAGTTTTTACATTATAATTTTTTTCCCTACCGTCCAATTCGGTATATAGATCCAATTGAAAAGAACTGGCAAGAAACTCAATTGAATTACTTTTTCTTTAAAAGCCAGTTTATTTACAATGCATTGATATCGGTCTCTAAAAAATATAATGGTGATCAACATATGTTTTAATTTCTTAGCAAGAGTTTCTTATTCGATACGATTCCTCGCAGCATACTAACATTTTTATAACGTCGCGCGTGAGAGAGTATAATATGCAAATAAAATTAATCTTTCTCACCCTCCATCGCATATCTCGTCGATGGCCAGCATCACAGCGTCCAAGTTGTCAATCAAGGTCCGCCAATCGACGTTTCTTCGAAGAAGTATGCTCACAGACTCATATAGAGCAGTTAGCACTGACTGCAGAATGAGCTGTAAATTGAAATAGCCTTAGTAAGGACCCCATAATTTCTAAGTAATGTAGTAAAATCTACATTTTACAATTACAATTGTATAATATCCCCATAAGTATAATAATTGGAATATTACTTGAGCTGATGGCTTGCCTTATGGCAAACAGTAACAGTCATCCACATACATCACTATCATACTTATAACAGTTTGTCATTAAATACTTTTCGACTGTATTCACAACAAAAGTATAATTAATAAAAGGTTTGTTTGTCTGTCTGTTCTTTTCTTTCTATTCTCAGAATAGACATGTCACTCATATTTTCGTATGAGTTTCTGCTCATAATGGCTCATTTCGTGTCCACAAGCGATGATTATCACTTACAAGCAGATATAAGATTGTTTGTAATTTCTATATAAAAAAAATCATGAAATGAAATTAATTTATTTGCAGAAAACAGTTAGTTCACAATTACTATTAATATTTAGTAACTGATAAATTGTCCCGATTTATGGGCATATAATGTTTTTTCCAGTATATTTAAAGGCTTGAAATCCGAAAGCAATTTATTAAAAATAATGTGCCATAAATGAGCCATTCTTTTAGTAATACTAATCTTAGGACAACTGACACAGCGCCATCTAGCCTAAGTTAAGCAGAGCTTTACTACACAACTGATATAAATACATTTAAAAACATACATAATATAATTATTAAAAATGAAGGGACCATGCGAGGAATCGAACCTGCGACCATCAAAAGTAAGGCGGTGTGCTAAACTGTTAGCCCATCGTTAAATTGCTCATTGATACCAGTATTTTATTATTTCATGTTACCTCATTTTCATGTGAGCTGCCCATGACATAGAAGAATAAGTTGAGATTACTCTTGTATACGCACGTTAATCCTTCTAGCATTATGATTTCTGCATTCGCCCTGAAATTATAAAGTTTAATACATTAGCTAAATTCTTCTATTTGAGAAGAATTGTTTAATTTTTATGTTTACTCCGAAATGTGCATTAATGTCGTTATATATGTACTGAAATGTATATATATATGGACTATTCTCTGTATTTAGTCTCTCTTCTGGCCAGTTAGGTGTATAGTGCCGAGACTACTAAAGTAGCCGGCCAAGCTCCTCCCAGAAGCACAGAAGCATCCTGGTGTCTTCATAGGCTTCACAAAGCGACCTCACCGTTCAGAGGCTTTGTGTCTGTTGTGGGGCCATTGCTACACACTCTAAGATTATGTGAGTGACCGTGACCGACTTCTAAGCTGTCCCGACTAAGAGGACTGCCTACAGCACCAACTGTGTATGTGATATATTTGACCAAAATAGTCAGGCAGATGAATAACTTAATATAAGGAGGGTCTGCTCTAAACGGAGTGGCACACTACCTGATATACTGAACACCACATTCCATGTGACTGTTTGTTAGATTTCTAAATGATAAAAGTTTATTCAATATTATTGTACATGTTTCTATGACTTTTTTTTTAATTTATTTTAAATATATTTTTGAAGTCATGGTCTCAGTTCTAGTCTGTGGTGTAGCTAAAAATATAACAATTTCTTTTATTAATAATCATAATACAAATTCTGATCAGCTTAGACTAGATGATGCCCTGAATTGTCCTGGGTTATTATTATACCATTAGCACAGGTGGGTGTACAATTCCATTACATACCATTAAAAAAAGAGTGACAAGTTCTCACCTATGTGTCTTATTGAAAAGATTTTTCTCAAATGCCTTCTGTTCTTTGGTTGTTGGCATAACATTTTTATCATAATATCTAGCTATGACTCTGTTCCCTTCATTGTCTAATATGCACATGCCCTTGACAATGTAAAGTGTGGATTCCTGAAAATCAAAAATGTCACAACTTTACTAATATTATAAATGCAAAAGTTTGTGAGTATGGATGAATGTTTGTTACTACTGAATGGATTCTGATGAAACTTTACAGTAATAAAGTTAATACTTATATAATATAATAATACATCAGAATAATATACAGGCTGTAATTTTAAGATATTATGTAAATTGGGCAAAATATCCTGATAAATTTCAAATGCGACGCAGACAAAATTTTGTGGGTAAATTATTAATAAATAAATAGATGTTTTACAAATTTAGATTCTACAATACTGTATATAAATGCATACATTTGTAATATTTAAGTAAAGTCATTGTCATACTCATCTATTCCAGCCTACAAACAGCTTGTTTTGTAAGCTGTGTTTTGGTCGAAGGGTAAGGTGGAAAGAATGTTCTGTATAAGAGACATGACATCTTAATAATCCTCTGAAATGACAACACATGAGTGGTACCACTGGTGTTACATGATAATGTGATGTCCATATTGTAACACGAGTACCTTAACTCAAAGGTCCGAAAACCAATATGGCATGTAGAGCCTTTTATGACGACATACTCTAAATGCATTACAATAGCCCATCAAATAAGCTTATCGTAAAATGCAAATGGGGCTGAATAGTGTGGCGCTACCCTAAACACCGCTTTGCTGAGTAGAAACAAACCACAAAATTAATGTATATACAAGAGGGTTACTGCTCATCATTAAGTGGATCATCAGCTTGCTTACCATTTAAATTACATTAGCTACTCACCCCGGCTTCGCATGGGTGTACATGTATTATATATATAAACCTTCCTCTTGAATCAGTCTATCTACTAAAAATTGATGATTCAAAGTATGTTGCATAATTTTTAAGATTTAAGCATACATATGGGCATAGCATTTAAGCATACAGAGGAATAGATAGACAGCGATTTTGTTTTATACTATGTAATGATAACTGTCTGAATGAAGAAACTGTCATATGTATAGATGTAAGTACTACTTTTATATTTTGTTTATTAATAAAGTGTATTAATGTAGGTAGGTACAATATGTTCTTAACCTATTGATATAAGCTACATAGCACATTTTATTTTATATTACTATACCTACATTAGAGACATATGAACAACCAACTTAATTGATTGAATCTTTTTTGTTTTCTACAGGCATGCTTCGTAAGCTGTGTTTCAATAGAAGAGCATTGTAATTACAGGGTGTGAAAGCAACTCCGTTTCGCTGTAGTGGTACTGAGAACTCAGCCCTCGGTAGTGGTGCTAAGTACTCAGTCCCACATAGGTCTGAGGCTGGACTCTTAGAAGGATGAGTACCAGTAGTAGTAGTACAGAGATGACTACTACAATTATGGCCATTACATTATTATCTTGTCTGTGGTGATGTTTATGTGTTAGGCGACAATGACCACTTACCATCAGGTGGGAAGCTCAGCTTTAGGTTGTTTATAATTGCATAAAAAATATGCCGATTATTTAATTGCTCTATACATAATAGAGAAATAGTTACTACAACACAATAGGCAATAATATAATTACAAAAATACTTTAAAAAAGACGAAACATTATAGCTTACTTCTAGTATAGTTCTAAATATTGATAAACAGAAAACTTACAAATAATGCGCCTTCCATCGTTGCATGTACCATTACACTATAATATGGTAAAATAAAATTATATATAAGTAGACTTTTTGTCTTTAATTAATAAAACATGCAGATACTAAAGAAATAACACCAAACTTGCCAAATAACCAAAAACAAATCAACAAAAGCAACGTCAACAGTGTAGCTTAATGTCAGGGTTGCCAACCTCAAAACATTTAGCCTTGCATGAATAAAAGAAAATCAGATAAAATCTAGTATACTAGCTTAATTTGGCTCTCTGACCTGGCCCATAATTATATTTTAACCAATTTCCGTAGGTCAAAGTCTCGTAAAAAGTTATAAGTGTATAAAAATATACTGACACCAAAGGCCAATAATCTCGTATTTCTACGAGGATTCTCTTACAGTTGGCATTCCTGGTCAGTGTTACCATTTCGAAATTACAATATTTTACCTATGACATCGAGTTAATTTAAGCCAACATCGATATTTTGTTTTGAATTTCTGCATTGCAAAATGTGAATGATTTATGATATTGCCCGGGTCAACTGGGGGGATAATTTTATAATTTACGATATAACGATACAAATATTTCAATTGCTTCTATTATATCCCATTCAGGTCGAATTAATCTAAATATTTTATGAATATAAATTAAACAATAGCCAATATTTATAATTTGTTTTCTAATTAATATTAATTCAAAAACAGTTTAACTAGCGGAACTTTGAAAAAAAATACCGATTGTCTCAATTACTCGTCAATATTAACTTATATTACAGATAAGATAATATTACAGAGCTAGATCTATAATTCAGTGAAACATCTAGAATTTAGTGTTTTTTTACAATTATCATAAATGGTATGTTGATTTGTACTGTCTGAATTGACAATTCAGAATATGCTAGATATTGTGAAAAATTGCTCGAATTACTATATGGTCACCCTAAACGTCAACGAGTTAAAATTAAACTGACGTTTAAATTCACTGACTGAAAGTTTAAATTCAAACCATCATTGTCATTCACTTGTTTCTCCATACGAACTCGACTTTTTTATAGATGGAGACAAAAAAATATTGATTATGTTTTCCTCATCTAAGAGAAGAGAATATCATTTGCAAATCTTAAACTAACGGACTAACCACGATTTTTGTTGTAATTCCATTTGTATTTTCTTTTATTCAATATCTTACTTATATTATAAACATAAAATTTATGAGTACACTACTAGGTGTTACTCTTTCCCGCAAAACCTACTGAATGGATTTTGATGAAACTCTACAGCATAATGCTATACAGTTTCAGAGTGTTTCCACAGTGTTTCCCAACGTTTCTTATACCCCATCTTAACTTTTCCAAAATTCTTATGCAACTTTTAAGATTAAGAATTAGATTTTTCGTTATATTTGGCACCGAAATCTATAATTGCATATACCTAAATAGCCCGGTGCGAAAGGGTTACTCGTGTCCAATCCATTTTCGAATTGTCCCCCTTAACAATCAAATTGCCCCCCTACGGGGCGTGGGCCCCACGTTGGGAAACACTGATCTCGGATTACTTTTATTATAAGGGTTTCATCACGGGAGAATCAGTTAGAAATATAAATTAAATTGACATCCAAAGGTTTATTGGTTTTTGGCCAGATTGGAACCCAGGATATTAGAGGTCCAAGTTATTTTCAATGTTCTATTTGAATGAAAGCAGTAACTATGTGTACATACCTATATATAATCCTACATATATATTTGAACAGGTGTAATAGTCTTATTTGATTAATTATATAACTCTATGTTTCAAGAACATATATTATTTTTTGATGGTAATTATTATAGGAGGTATTTTATGAAATGCTTATAACACTACTACTTATATAAGTCTGTGTATATTTCAAAGAAAATAGCAAGTGCCTCCGTGGCGCAATTGGTTAGCGCGTTCGGCTGTTAACCGAAAGGTTGGTGGTTCAAGCCCACCCGGGGGCGAAATAATTTTTGATTAATTGCTACACAATGTTGATCACTCACAAATTAGGTCTAGAGGTTTAGTATACCACTTTACTTCCGATGGTCGCGGGTTCGATTCCTAGCATTATACACAAATTTGTATTCATGAGTATGATATTTGTATTGAGGTAACCAATTTTGTGGATGCACCGCATTAGAGTAGTATTATTATTAGTATTGCTATTTATTGGTAGGTGCTATTTTCTATTTTTTTTTTATTATTTGTCTCATTTTCTCAGCTTTTGCTGCTAATTGTTATTATAATTATTATTACCACTTAATGTATGTATTACGAAAGTTTATTGTTTAGTGAGTGCATTGGTATTATACTGTATTACTCACCGAAAGCATGTAATTTTATAAATAAATAAAAGTATGAAACTATTCTTTTACTAAAGCAGTATGAAATGAATACCTTTTTAAGTTTATCTGCCGAGTAAATACAGTACAAAGTGACACGGCAGCGACAAATTGCGTTTGAGATCCGCTCGCTTCCTGCATGCACTTAGTTGCGTTGCATGTCTTTTTAATGGACCCACTATTACACTATTATGTAACACATTTTTATTGCACTCGCAAAATACAGTAATAAAATAATTTAGGTACAACGTGAGCAAAGGTAGATATCCCTAGAAGAATCATCTCTTCCAGTCAACCTGTGGAATTGGTATTGAGTGGTAATAATTAGTAGCAAAATATAAACACAATTGTATTATTTTATGTTAATGTTCATACTATCTACATAGTATTAACATCGCGCATACTGCCATGACACGCTCGTCTGCGGCTGCGCGCCGTGCAATATTGTGCATCTGTGGCGCATTACGTTTGCGCGGGAAAATAAAAACTACAAAAATGGCTTCTGCTTAATGCTTCTGCAGACATACTGATTAATTGTTGTACTCTTCATTATTAATTATTTTATACTATTTATATCTGCAATTTACTTTTATTATTGCTGTATACTATACACAACAAACCCGAATATAAAAAAAAGCGCCTAGTAACTGATCTAACATCTTATAATAATTATATTACTTAATGGATTATTTTGTTTAATTTCGCTGCCATTAGTATGTCTAAGACCACAAATATTTATTGATTAAACCTGACCACCACTACAGGAAGCGTTACAACCTTATCTAATGGTGATCAAATGCCGACCGTTGTTGAGTCTACAGCCATAATGCGACACGTGTTTCGCTTTTGAACGAGGCATCATGAGGCATTGAATAGAGTTCGGATATATGTAGCTTGGAAGCCTAGTGTTGACTATTTAGCGACCAATCACAGACTATTACTATTTGTAGGTGTATATACGTCTACATTGGGCTGCAAGGAAGGATTGGTTGTAGAATGAAATCAGGCAGTGAAATCACAGGATAGAAGGGATGACATCTTTGTTTTCTGAAATGGCAATGCAGGATTGGTGTCACGGGTGTCACATGATAACGTGATCCGTAAGCATCCGTAGTGCTTGCTGTTCATGTACATAGGCGACATTTTCATTTAGGCGGTTTACTATTACAGTTATATAAAAATAAAATACATATAACGTAACGGTGTAATACGGTGTATTGTCCTCGTGTGTCACATAAAGTGTGTACTGTGTTTATGCACGTCGTAGCTCCCTGTATTCCGTCGCAGAATTTTTGCGATCGGCTGCTTTGATTTATTTCATCTTTAATGTATACTAACTGTTACCCCTGACTTCATTCGTTTTGAATTAAAATAAATAAAATTTCTAAACTAAAAGTAGCCTATTTATAACATTAGCTGATTGCAAGTGGAAGGCCCATCAAAATCGGTTCAGTTTCAGAGATCAGCAAGAACAGACAGGCAGACAGATAATAATATTATCTCAAGATAATTTCACATAGCGCCATCTAATCCCAAGCTAAGCAGAACTTGTGTTATGGGTAGACAACGGATACAAATGCATAGATTCATTTTTTTTTAAACAACACATTATCACCCATTCATTGGTCTATACACCGCCTTACTTCCGATGGTCACGGGTTCGATTCCTCGCACGGCACAAACATTTGTATTCATGAGTATGATTGTTTATATCGGTCTGGGTGTTTTCTATGTATAATATGTATGCATTCATGAAAAAAAGATTTATGTATTTGTATTAGTTATCTAGTACCTATAACACAAGCTTTAGCTACCTTATCTTGGGGTTAGATGGCACTGTGTGAATTGTTCTGAGATTTTTTTATTATTGAACATTTATTTAAAAGAACAACATGCAAGTTTCTTGCTCGTTCTTCTTGTGATGAGTCTGCTTTTCGAATGAGCGGTAGAATAAAAAAATATGACGATTCATTTGTTATATTAAATTTATTTGAATAAAAATTATTTCTATTTCTATTTCAATCATGTTTAACTTCAGAAACTGGCACATATATTCAAAATTTGTCTGAGTGATGTTGATAAAATAATAAACAAATATGAGCTCTAAGTACATAGATATACATGACATTATGTATGTTTGTACAGACGTCGTTCAGTGCTTAGAATTGAAAAGGGACACGCACACTACACTTTTTTATATTACGCACTTTCCACGACGAGTGCGCGTTTCCATTGTCTTATGCACGTTTATTTTTCAGTCGACACGATTATTTTCTTATTCGATGAATGATCGTGTTATATTTCAGCTTATTACTTAGTAAAATAAACAGAATTGACATTAGCCATTTTTACTAAAACAATTGACATATGCAGCAATTATTTATTTGACAGCCTCGGTGGTATAGTGGGTTAGCTTTACATTTACGGTCGCAAGTTATTAATATTTTTATTAATGAGTATGTAATAATTACGGTAGTCGTATCTAGCGGACATAAAAATACAAATAATTTTAACTTACATGAAAATTATAAATAAGATACTACATTGGAAGTTACTAAGTAACTATATAGAACTAAAGAAACGGGTGACATCGTTCAATACTAGAACTATATAATATTATATTATCTGTGCTAGAACGAATGTCTGTTAACTCTGAACTCGTTACACAAACCACAGTTGTCACAAGATTATAGTCAGAGTTATACTGATTTAATATGCAATTAACAATATTCCAATTAAAACTGTCCAACTACTATATTGAAATTGTGACATTGCGGCCTCGTATATTCCTTGGCGCCTTCATTCATTTTGGTAAGGGCTATGCACTGCACTAGTAACAAAGTATATTATGTATGTGTTTACATGGTTTGTAATTTAGAATTGTATCGAAATTCTGACACAATGCTCTAAA